ACAGAGATATCTGGCAGCCCTATAATTAGGGGGTCTTTCACTCGGTTTACATAACTTATTTACTTACTTTTTTATATTTTTAAACCAGAAATACCTAATAACAAAAAAGTATATAAATATATTTTGTTTTAAATGACAGCAAACGCCAAATGCCATAAAATTTATTTTAAAAAGTGTTATACTATATACGTACCATCAATACCCTTGTGATCGGTGAAATAGTTTCCGAGATATTATAAATATAAGAAATGTAAAAGTTTAACTTTAACCTCTTTAATTGGCTTTGGTTTTTGTTTGTGCCACATAATCATGGCATGGTTGAAATCAGCATGTATAGCTCTATCGAGTCACATTTTGTCTGTTTTCTAACCGACTTCCAAAAAAAATGGAGACTATCAGTTCGTCGGAATATTTTTTTTATATTTATTTTTATTTTTTATGTTAATTTTTTTTGCATCGGAAAGGTAGGTGGTCCCATCTGGTTTAGATTCGATCATTTGATCATGAAATATTTATATATATATATATTTTTTTTTTTAATATGAGAATTGAAGTCGGTTTTGTATTTTGTTTAAAAAGTACTTGTTACCTAAACGGTTGTTATTATACACCACGACTACTTCGGACTATTTCTGTCTAAACCCTGGAGTACGGGAACTGCCTAAATGTGAATAAGAAAAAGTAAACAAACAAATGTCAAATTAAACTCTGAGTTTATTAAACACCCCAATGAGAACACTTGACAGTTGTTAAAGAGTTGCTGTGAGTTAATATTTCAACGTGGATTGCTTTTAGTTGTTTGCGTACTCCTTATTTCTATAACTAATTTGCCAAGCTTGGAAAGAAATAAACAGTAACTCCAAGCATTTTTCGTTTTATTAAGATCCGTTAAATAAGTTGCTTAATTTTTCTTAGTTTTTAATTAATTAATTTGCATTCGCGAATGTGAAAAATGTGACATTCGAAACATCTCTAATTGATACCCATATTAAATTAAATTAAATTAAAATTTTCAAAGAGGTGGCGACCTTCTACAAAAATATCTTCGGCTGTAAGCCTTCTTAAACCTCTTCCTTTTCTATATTGCAATATTTACTTTATCTTACTAATTTAGGTTAATTTAGGTTGAAGTGGCTGACAGTGACCCCACTAGCACACCTAGGCCCTTAAGATTTTGGGCCCGTTGTGGTACCACTCGGGACTTAGAACTCTCCTACTCAAACCATCGTGTGGAGTATGCGAAACTCAATAGTTGCCGTATTCCTACTTCGGCTATGTTGGTTAGACCTTCGAAAAATTCTGAGCCCAAAAACTTTCATCTTCTGAAGGGACATTCGCATAGCAGATGTCGTAAGGTTTCCGGCACTTTCTCATCTCTGCAGCTTCTGCAGAAGTCGTTATGGGGGATCCCGAGCCTCTCCGCGTGCCTTCCGATGGCAACATGGCCTGTTAGCAGATCTATGGCTGTAGCTAAGTCCCCTCTGCTCAGCATGAGGAGACATTTCGACCGCTTCTCGTTCCATTTTGGCCACATAAGCTTTGTGTTGCTGAAAGTTGTGAGACTATCCCACCTGTCCTTTGCTTGTTTAAAAGATAGATCCCTTAGTATGAGCTTGCAGGTAGCGAGCAGCATGCCTAAACCCTTCCAGGATTGCGAAAGTGGAAACGATGTGCCCTCTCTTGCAAGTTCGTCTGCCTTCTCGTTGCCTAGTATGTTTTGGTGCCCGGCGCCCATACCAAGTGAAGAGCGTATTGCTCAGCCATCTCGTTCAGAGATCTGCGGTAGTCCGCTACGGTTCTTGAACTGCATGTGACCGATTCAAGCGCTTTGAGTGCCGCCTGACTGTCTGAGTAGATGAAGATATTGGGCCTCATGCATAAAAATTGAGTTTAAGCTCCGACTCGATTTTCAGTACAAATTCTTGGGCTTGAGCTCACCCCTTCAGTGCAAAAATTGAGTCTGAGCTTAAGCTCACTTTTTATGCATAAGGCCCATTGTTACACATTGCTTCTCCTGTATGGCAGCGAACCATGCATACATCACTTTCAGATAGGACTCATAGTTTCTGACAAATCAATTAATCATTCCAGTTTTTATTTTTTAATGAATAAAATCAAACTTTAATAGAAGAAAAATTAAAATAATAACAGGTTCTGGACCAAATTTTTGCTTTTGTACTAAAGCCTGTTCTGTTACAAAAAAAATTAAGTTACTGATGAAGAAAATCGATGGATAAATAAGAAATAATGAGTGGTCAAATGAAAATGCACAAAGATGTTTTGTATGAACTTTCTTTCCTGCTCGGCACAGAACCTGTTACTTTTAAAAATTTTTCTTCTCTTAAAGTTTGATTTTTTTAATTTTTTCATTAAAAATTAAAAATGCTGGAATGATTATTTAATTTGTCAGGAACTATAAGCCCTATTGAAAAGTGATGTATATACGGTTTATGGAGCTTTCATTTGCCGTATTTTATATTAAGATTTTTAAATTGGTTCGTAAGATCTACGTGATTAAAGGAAGCAATTTTTGCTTTAGGCTGAATAACGGCAAATTGAAAGTATCTCGAAAACTTATGCATAGAAAAAAAATTAACTCGATTTTCGGAATCACCGAGCAATTGTACATAGGAATTGGATAGTGGCATCCATAGAACAGTTTTGCTGTAAACCAGTGTAATCAGCATTCTAATGTATTCAAAATGTCCCAAAAATTTCATATTAAATCACATTCATTTCTCGATACTAAGTAATGCAAAATTGAATGCCCCACTTTTCTTGGGACTTCGCCCTGGGGAAAAAATGCATTTTCGAATGTGAAAAGGGTTATTTTACTGATTACTTTTTCGATTACTATACTTTACATTTTCCCACTGGGATAGGTTATCCAAAGCGGAGACCCAGAATAATAATTACTTCATGGTGGAGTTTTAAAAAAGTCATCCAAATTTTCATAAGAATTATAAAAGTTCTTTGATAATACTTATGTGGGAGAAAATTTGTTCAAGTCATCGATAACTATTATTTTAAGACTTGTATAATAGAAATCTTTTCATAATAATTATCAGCGAGATAAATATTTTTAAGTCTACAAAGACTTTTATTTTGAGACTTATGTTATAAAAGTCTTTTGATAATAATTATGAGTGGGAAAAAATTTTGTATATAGTCCCGAACGGGTGCGAAACCAAGCCCCAACTGATCCCAAACTACACCCCGTCTAGGCCGGAACTGGTCCCCACCTAGCCCCGAACTGGCCCCAACTAATCCTAAAATGCTCCTGAACAAGTCCCGTCTTTTAAGACTTAAAAAAATTGTTCGCGCTCATAATTATTATGAAAAGACTTTTTTAATGTTAGTCTTAAAATAAAAGTCTTTGAAGACTTAAAAATATTTATCTCAATGATAATTATTATAAAAAAACTTTTATATTATAAGTCTTAAATAAAAGTCTTTGAAGACTTAAAAATATTTATCTCAATGATAATTATTATAAAAAAACTTTTATATTATAAGTCTTAAATAAAAGTCTTTGAAGACTTAAAAATATTTATCTCAATGATAATTATTATAAAAAAACTTTTATATTATAAGTCTTAAATAAAAGTCTTTGAAGACTTAAAAATATTTATCTCAATGATAATTATTATAAAAAAACTTTTATATTATAAGTCTTAAATAAAAGTCTTTGAAGACTTAAAAATATTTATCTCTCTGATAATTATTATGAGAGGACTTTTGTAATATAAGTCCTTGAATAATAATTATAGATGACTCGAAAAATATGCATCTTAATATAATGATTATTGATTGACTTTTATTCTTTTCTCTTATAATAGTTATGTCTCTGATCCAAATGTTAATCAAGTCAAACCAATAACGCAAAATTGCACATTCATATTTCTGTCATAGGCGTGACGATATGTATTTACATCACATTTATTAATTTTTTATACACCTGTTCTACATATTTTTGCAGTAAGAAAATATTTCTTACATATATGTATGTCATATTTCCTGTTAATCTATACATATTATAAAGGAAAGTCGAGATTCTTTGTACGCGGTAATCTCGAAAACTACTGAAAGGATTTTGACGAGATTTTCTCTAATATATTCAGTATCGATAGGAGAGTGACCTTTTTAATTTAGAATTTTAATAGGGTTGCCACCTGTTAAGAAAATTACTATATTCAATTCTAATAAGCGTAGGCGTCAGTTCTGCACCGTCACTGTCAAATGAAAAGACTTAGCCTCTGGATGTGTAATAATGTATTACTTTTCTGAGTAGGGTTGCCGCCTGTTTAAAAACTATAAGATAAAAAAATAAAATACCAAATGAAAGTGCATGGCCTTTGCATGAGCAAAAACTTTAAGTTTTTTGAGTAGGGATGCCACCTATTTAAAATTACTATCTTCTATACACAGTATAAAGGAAAGGCGAGATATTTTAACCACGCTACTGGACGGATTTAGACAAGATTTTTATTTATACTTATTTATGTATATAATAAACGAAGTACATGATGACATATGATTTCTTTCTCCAAATACGTAAATGTACATACATACATATGCATACATTCAGCGCGTGGCGAAGCCTCGCGCATTCGTGGCCGGCTAGTATTCTTCTATTTGAATGAAAACAAGTCATTAAAATGTAAGTTTAGTACTCCACTCTACTTACTAAACTAAATTTATATATTGCTATTAGTTAAGATTGTCTTTTCAAATGGAACCATTTATTTTACACATACATATGTATTAATAAGGATTAATCAATCACTATGTGCATTAAAATTTAGAAATAAAATATTCGAAAGATTTTTTTATGTGTCAGATATAAAAATAAGGGAATCTTGTATTTTATGTAGATACTTTTTGCGATATAAACAAAATGCTGATGATATCCCCATGGAGTTGCTAAAATTAGTTTAAGTCATGTGGTAAAATTAGCAAACAAACGAGTACTACAGTATAATTTTACTTTATAATTTTAGCCTTAGCCCATCCTTTGCGTTTTGCACTTTCGCTGAACATCTTTTGGACAAACATTTTCACAATAACATCGCGCTGGAAATTCCATCGTTAGACTATAAAACGTGTAATAAGAAGTTAAGTAACATTCTGTATGTAGACACCTTCTTTCCATTGGAGCAACGGGTGAGTAAGAATAAGAACATATCGCACGTTAAATAATATAGAGATGTAATTCAAAATTTACGTTTTTGAGGATTTCAACATACAATTAATTAGCTTGTTAAGGAGAATAGGCTCAGCCAAACAGATGACTAAACTTCCCAACTTTACAACTACCTTTTGGTATACCAATTGTATGAACTGAGCAAACTTTGATTGCGTTTTCCCACAAAATTTAAATTTTGAAATAATTCTGTATATTATTAAACGTACAATAAGTACATTGTACATGCATAAATACATATATGTATATCTATGCACAACCAATGAGACACAAGACATCGCTTTTTTTAGTGTATGCTCTGGACGTGGTTTCTTTCCCTCGAAATGCAGTTCTTTATTGTAGCGTGCTTGGTTTTACTTCTTGCCGAGATTCACTCGGTATATGCTGTAATTATTGGAATGGCTATGTTTTTCATCTCCATTCTAGCTTCTGTAGTTTGGGAATCGGATCCGACGACCAACGAAGAATTTTCAATTTCGTAGGTTCAACCATAAATACATACATACATACATGCATATGTATTTATTTACATTCTTACATAACTCTTAACTCTATTTAATACTTTTATTCTTTTAAAAACTGCATTCGTGTCGCACCTAAGGAAATATATGCAATATGAATTGGCTCAGTTCCATTTGGTTTTCGATAACCTCTGTCTGCGCATTTCACCATATGTTTTGGGAGTGTGTGTCGGATATATCCTGCAACGGACGCAATCCAACATGAAAATAAACACTGGAATATTAGTTTGTGGTAATAGCAATGAGAAATATTTGTCTTCTTTCCACTACAAGACTAATTCTTTTAAAAAGGGTGGCTTGCTTATTTGCTAATATTCGGCTTGTTTATATTTGCTTACAAATATGGCTATGAAATTCTACTTCCCAACGCAGCCGGTGGACGCTGGTGTCAGGCGATACTCTTCACCATATCCCATGCTATGTGGTCTTTGATGCTGCTCTGGACTACTCTCACAGCTGAAACTCACCAGACTTGGAAACCATTGAATTTTCTACTAGCTGGGAGATACTTGAATGCTTTGGAGCGCTTATCGCCGGTCTGCCTTCTTGGAGCTCCAATTATAATTCGTCTGCTCGTATTCACAACCGATGCACCCATTTACAATTCTATAGGACAAACCGTAAGTTGGATATTGTAGTCATTTGGATAGTACTCTAAAAGGTAATTAATTTTCAGTTTTCCCTATTTGTTGGATGTTTGCTAATGACTTATCTAAGCGCGCTTTTGCTTCATTTTTTATTTGATGGGCCACTCTGCGCCATTCTCCAGGAGACTTTATTTAAATAGTACGAAAATTTAGGGCCAATTTCCGATGCCCTATTTAAGTAGAGATTGTTGATTAACTTCAAAAATTCATTTTCAGATCGTATATTTAAACTATATTTAAACTGCACTTAAATGCCCAATATTGGCTATTTAAATATGGAAAATGCAACCTTGCTCCCTCCCAAGAAACAGCTGATTACTCCCAGAAAAATATAAAAATACATAAACTAACGAAAATAATTTTATAAATATTTAATTTGCAAAATGGATTCAAGTGATCAAAGCGATACGGAGTGTGAAATTTTAGAGCGCGTGATAATAGCCCGACGTACACGGACTATAAGAGATGCGCCTAGTCGTTTCGGAAACTTCGATGATAAGAACTTCCGAGACAGGTTTCGAATAAGTAAAGCGGCAGCATGGATGGTGCTACGGATGATAGGGGAGCAAATACAACACAAAATAACATGGTAAGCCAGATTTAAAAAAGTTGTGTGCTGCTTCTAATTTAATTTTATTCAAGGAATAGTGCTCTAACCCCCGAGGAAATGCTTCTGCTGAATTTGCGGTTTTATGCCACGGGCTGCATGCAAAGGACCGGAGGGGACTTAATGGGAGTTTCTCCCAGTACTGCCTCCCGAGTAATAAGATTGGTTTCTCACCAAATAGCTCTGAGGCGAGAAGAGTTCATTGCGTTTCCCCCAACTGCAGAAGGGCAAAGGCAGGTGCAACAAAAATTTTATTTGATGGCCAGATTTCCGCGCGTACTTGCGGCTTTGGACTGCACACACGTAAAAATAATATCCCCAGGTTAGAGCAAGAAGTTAAAAACAAATATAAAAATGTCAGTATATATTTACATTTATGCATAAATATATATGTAATTTTTATAGAAGGTAATGATGCAGAGTTATATCGCAACAGAAAAGGGTTTTTCTCATATAACGTTCAGACGTTATGTGACAGCGACTTGAATATATTAGATATAGTAGCTCGATGGCCTGGTTCCACACACGATGCCACAATCTTGCGAAATTCGCACATCTACAGTCGCTTTGAAGATGGCCAATTTGGTAGTTGCAGATAGCGGTTATCCGTGTAATCAGTGGATAATGACTCCGTTATCCAACGTTCGTACTCCTTCAGAATCGCTATACAATGAATCGCGAATTCGAACGAGGAACTATGTGGAACGGTCTTATGGCGTGTGGAAACGAAGGTTTCCTGTTCTTTCGCTGGGTATTAGGCTGAATACCAAGCGGGTAGAAAGTTTTATTGTGGCAACAGCAGTTTTGCACAACATCTGCAATCAAATAAATGAAATAAGTGCTCCACCTATTTCAGCAGAAATCCGCGATCATATTCAAGATGTTTTACACATGCCATCCGTTTCCATTACCCATACCAAGAGTAACATTAGAAGAGAATTAGTTAATAGTTATTTCCAAAATTTGTAAATACACCGACTCACATACATATCGTTACCTTAATATAGAAAGGCCCTATCTCACAATGTCGCTGAAATACAAAAAGCCGTAACTAAGCAAAAATCCGAAATGCCCGCTTCGATTGATTATAATGTATTTCATCGAATTATGTGTCCCCAAACCATTTTAAGAAATAAAAAATTTTAGTCAGTTACGGCTTTTTTGCATTTCAGCGACTGTATGAGTTGGGGCCTTTCTATATTAAGGTAACGATATGTAGGTATGCAACCAGTGTTTTTGTAATATTCATAATATTTTTCATGTTAAATCTTTTTCGTTAATTTGTTATATAAATATGGTTCACATAATAACAAAAACAAGTCCAAGTTCCAGGCTTTGTACGAAATTTAGAAAATGGTCAAAAATCACATAGCCTTTTATGGTCTTTGTTATTATATGAACCATATTTATATAACAAATTAGCGAAAAAGATTTAACATGAAAAATACTATGAATATTAAAAACAACCCTGTGTATATAATTCTGTGACTATGTGCACGTACACCTCGATTCACTTGGACAGGCAATATTTTCTTGGCGGCCCGATGCTATATCTGGCCTTTTAGCCCTCGGAGAAGCTTCATTTTAATCTCATGAAGAAATACCATATTCGACGAATACTTGAGTATTTCTTTTTAATTCCGCTTTTTATTAACCTACATGAAAAATCCATGCGTACCAAAATGCGTAAATACAAAGCCTCAGTATCTTTTATTATTAAAGTATTGCAGATTGAAATGTGCAGCTTGCGCAACCTTACTTGCAACTAGCAATCAGGAGTGGTTGCGAATATTGGACAGTTCCATCTGCTGTGCCACAAGTACACATAGCATCCAGGTGTGCAAAGCTAACTTATTAACTTTGTACTTAAAATCTTTCAAATCAGTCAGGTCGTATCCTTGTGTTAAAACCACTGAATAAAAATAAGCAAATTTTTCATGTGTTGATAAAAAGCGGTACAATAATCCAAGTAATCAAGGTATTTTCTTAGAAATTAATTGTTCTTCAAAATTATATTAAAATGAAGCTTCTCCGATGCCCTCAAGTCCAAATATAAGCTCGCATCTTGAAGAAACAAAATGCTCTTATTAAAGTGAACTGGTGTGTATCCATGGTTTCTTCATTGTCGAAAAGAAAAAAAACAAAGAAAAAGTTAAATATAAAAATATTAAATAAAAACAAAGACATTTTAAAACAAACACTTAACTTTAAATAAAAAAATGAAGTTAGTTCCGTGTTAGGTACAATGCAGTAAATTCAGTTTGCAAATATTTCTAACATTTGCATAAGGCACATTAGAAACGATAATATAATTTCATAAAGTAAAGAACAAAAGGACTAAAATAGAAAGTGGATTTGACGTTTCTTCTATTGGCCACAAAAAAAACTCAAAGAATTCATGAACAAATATCTCGATTTAAAAGCTAACCTCGCTAACTAACAGCTAGCGAAAAGCGAGCCCTTTATGGGCCCGGTGCACTGTGGTCAATAAATGGGATTTAATGTTCATAATTCACTGGAGCCTTCATTTCTCAACCGATTTGATTAGACTAGACGCGAACTCTTAGCGACTTGCAACTTGCACGTTATTATACTAAAATTTAGTAAACTATAAAACTGCATACCCAAAATTTTTATAAAAACTAAAAACAAAAAAAAATACTTTTGGTAGCATTTTTTATAACATTTCAAATTATTACTTTTTAATTTATTTTTTGTTTTAGGAGAACCCTAAAATTTTTTTAACTAGTTTTTATTATGAAACTTTTATTAGCTGGAACAGGAGAATCGGTCTTCTTCAAAATTGGCGCAATTTATGCACTTTGCACTAAAAAATTTAATACAAACAACTTGCAAATTTTATTAGCTTTCATTTAAAAAAATAATTAATCAAATCGGTTGAGAAATGAAGGCTCCAGTGAATTATGAACATTAAATTCCATTTATTGACCACTGTGCGGTGGTAGCCAATACCAAAATTCTAAATCCAATATACCTGCATTACGATAACGATTGCGTCGTCGATATACAGTGACTTACATAAATATTTTGCATTGACTTTTGTTTTCGGTATTCGATATTCTCCAAATTACCTGTTTTAATAAAAAATTACATGAAAAGCATTTCGAATATCGATGTTGTACAATGGCCTATGTTTTATTACAAAAATTACCATGAAAAACATTTCGAATATCCAAAACATAAGTCAATGTAATCACCGTATGTACATATGCATTTGTGCACAAAATAATAGGAATGGGATATTATGACCAGTTTTGACTATTTGTATTTATTTAGTGTTTATTTTTTATAAAAGTTTAGCTGGTTATACAATAAACACCATATAAATTCACATTTAAAATTACTTATGTACAAAAAGCTTTTAAGCAGAATTTGGTCTGATGAATACATGCCCGAAGAATGGAATCTCAGTGTACTTTGCTCAATCCACAAGAAGGGAGATCCCGCCGTTTGCGCCAATTATCGCGGAATAAGCCTTCTTAATATTGTATACGAAGCACGAAGAGGAGCTGCCTGTACGACGCCATGTCCAAATTTGGGATCCCCGCAAAACTAATACGGCTATGTAGAGTGACGTTGAGCACAACCTCTCAAAGCTAAAGAGGTTGGTCTAGCGGTGAACGAGGGAAAGACAAAGTACCTCCTGGCAACATATAAACAGTCCACGCGCTACGGGACACACGTCACTGTTGGCAGATATAACTTTGAAGTAGTGAAGGACTTTGTCTACCTAGGATCCAGCATAAACACCACCAACAACGTCAGCCTGGAGATCAAGCGAAGAATAACTCTTGCCAACAGGTGCTACTTTGGGCTCGGTAGGCAATTGAAAAGCAGAGCCCTCTCTCGACGAACGAAACTCACGCTCTACAAATCTCTCATCATGTCCGTCCTTTTATATGGCCCAGAATCTTGGACGATGTCGAACAAAGATGAGAAGGCTTTGGGGGCTTTCGAGAGAACTATTCTACGCAAAATCTACGGCCCTGTTTTCGTGGATGGCGGATATCGGAGAAGATGGAATGAGGAACTGTATGAGCTTTTTAACGACATGGACATAGTTAAGCGCATAAAAATACAGCGATTGCGTTGGCTTGGACATGTTGTACGCATGGATGACGACTCTCCGGTGAAAAGATCCTTCGACTCCGCACCCATGGGTGGACAACGAAAGCAAGGGCGCCCACGAACGCATTGGAAGGACCAAGTGCAGAAGGACCTGTCTGCGCTCGGGATAACCAACTGGCGCAAATTCGCGCAGGAAAGAAGCAATTGGAAAAGCTTTTTGGTCTCGGCCCAAACCGACAAACGGTTGTAGTGCCAAATAAGAAGAAGAAGATGTACAAAAATTATTTAAGGTCTGCAAAGTTTCACCAAAATTTCAAAGTTTTTAGTCAGAATAGTTTTTGTACATAAGTAGTTTTAGTAGTAGTTGTTGTATAACCAGCTAGACTTATAAAAAATAATAAACATTAAATAAACGAAAGAAACCATGAATTAAAAATAAGCACCCTTACATCAGAGTTTGCGAAATGATGCTCATTTCCAACTCATGCTTCTCTGCGAGATATTTTTTTTTTATTTCATGCATTTCTTGCATGTGACCCACTCGTAATTCGTGCTCGATTTTTATAGATTCCGCCTCCGTTCGTAGCTTTTCTTCGGTCCATTTTGCTTTGACTTGCGCCAACTTCGTCCAGCTAGATTGCGAAGATTTTTTTTAAATTTTAATTTTTCGTTTTTTTGTTTTTTTAGGTCGGAAGGTGTATATTTGGACCACGATTCGTATTCCCGTTCAAGTTCTGCAAGTTGAAAAAAAAACTGTTATGATAATGATTCATGTGTTTATAGAAATATGAATGTGCTTACCAAGATCGGCTCCAGCCTCAGCAGACTGTCCAGACTCCAGACACTCTTCATTGTCCATAAGCTCTATTTTTTCGATGAAGCAATCGCTGTCGTAATGCGACGGATTTCCGTCTATTTGTTTTTCCGGAACGATTTCTCTCAATTGGTCGTCGTACTCATTGGATTGAGATTTTTGAAAAGGACCACCACCAGTTCCGTAGAGGGCCGCTTTTCTGTAGCTGATCTTTTCTTAAAGTCAGCCTTTATATTGAAATATTTTGTTCTTAAGGTCTTTGAGTTTCTCGGATTGCCAGTAGAAGACGCGTTGAACTCCCTCTCTATTACTATCCACGCTCTATCCTTTTGTTCTGAGCTTGTTCTGTACGTTTTCTTGCATTCAATAACGCCTTTTTGTTTTGCAATTATGTCCAGCAACAATTTTATTTCGTCAGGCGAAAAATTTTTTGTTCGTGGCGTATCCATTTATTATTTCACTGAAAACCTGTCGCACAATAAAAAATTATAAGTTTATATATAATATATATACTTTGTACTAGCAAATCCTTTCGGTACATGACATGAAGGCTCCTATTCTCAGTAATTAGTGAACCTTACCCACTCTTAGTTAATTGCTATTTGAAAAGTGAATTTTATGCAAAGTTCCCGTGATTAAAGATTCATATGTAAGTTGGTTGCCCTCTTGGAATACGGTTTGCTCCGGTATTGTGTTATCGCAATTGGCCTGCAGCTACGAAATAGGTGAAATATTTAGATCTTGGCCCTTGAAAATCAACCAAGATTTTATGTATTGTAACTTGAAATACGCTGCTCGAGCAGAAAATCATATCATATATATGTCAGCAAAGACAGCCACGTGACTTGGGTTTCTGCGCATATAAGGGTTATTATGGGCACTTACTTGCGGAATCCTTGAAACAGAAACAATAGTCATAATCGAAAACTTAGGAAATTTTTAGTTATTTGTACAATGACCACAGTCCAAAATTAGAGAAGTCATCCTTCCCCTCTCTCTGACCACTCAACCCTCCGCCGGGGCCATTTGAAAATTGGCTAAAAATAGCATTTCGACATGGGAAATGTAAACTCGGGTTATGCCATCCATCGGCCGCGCTTTGGAATTATAACTCTTACTAAATACAATTCTCCTTTCTGTGTTGTCAACGATATACATACATACAAAATTTTGTGTGCATATAACTCCGGCTACGCCATCCACAGTTTTTTTTGCGCAGAACCCACATCGAAATTTACAAAAAAGTGCATACTTCAAACCGAATTTATCAATAAACTAGTACTTAGAAATTTTCTATCTTTATTTGAAATGAAAGTTTAATTCTTTAAATACACGTGTATGTTAAATTTTTTAGATTCGGGTCACGCGCTTGGACACCACAACCCAAAATCATTGTGCAAAATAACTAAATCGTACCCGAAAAGTTTGCTTCGCCAGCACGCGATAAACGGTCAGAGAGAACTTTGTTTGCGGCCGAGGAAATTTTCACTTTGGAAGAATCTTCCATACACAAAACGATAGGGTGTGAGCTCAGTCGTTACGACATGCGTCCGAACTCGTTCCGAGGATTCAACGTGACCACCACCAGCTTCTGCGATGATTTCAAAAGGAACCTGCTCCAGCTCATAACGCAAAACGAACACAAAACCATGTTTCACTTTTTTTAATGCCATGCACCAAAACATTTGCTAGCACCCTGCAGTGAAATCCCAAACTAGTCAGGAAAAATACTAGTTTACAACTAGAATTTCCTAACAGAAACCGAACTAGTTCGAAAATGACCAGACTTGTACCAAGTAATTCATACCCTGTATTATTTGACTTCGACAGTTTAATACAATAAAGTACACAAAATAATATAACTTTTATTTGGGTATATCGTAAACCGTTAAATTGAGTACGTATTCAATTATACCAGACCTGTTATTTTGTTATTTTTGATCATTTTCAATTATTTTTTATTTTGTTTATTACACGATTAATATAATTATTTGATTAATTTCTATTATCAATCAATAAGCCAAACTATGGACAAAAATGAAGAATATTTAATAACTGCTTGAATTACACAGGCCAACAAAGTTTTTTAACCAAGAATCGGACTATACTTTTCCGAAGGTCTTTGACGTGCTGAATTCGAATCTGACCCCAGATCACGTCAGGTTTTCGGGATATTCTCACCTAAAAGTACAAAAATTACGGTTTTTGGGCACATTTGATCTGCACTACTCCTCCCCTTCAAAATTCATTTTAAAGCTTTAAAAAATTTTTATTTGTTACCGAGAAGTCGTCTGTTGAATTTACTGAGTTTAGTAAATTCGTTGATATTCTGAAAATGAGGAGTATTGGATATTGGAAATTGAAATATCTATGTATTTATTTTTTCTTTTAATTATTACTCAAAAAAATTAACAATAATTATTGGCAATTCTAAGGCTGCTAAATAAAAATATGTAAAATAAAAAAGTGTACTTAACTGTTTTTTATTGTATATTCATGAATTCATTTTATTTTTTGACTCCCAAAGTAGTGGTTTTGGTCCATAATTAGACTAGTATTTTTCTGTCTATTCTGAACTAGTATAAGACTGGTATATTTCTGGCCGAAATCTGACAATTGCCATTTCGTAGGACATCCCCATGTTAAAAATCCCAGTTGATTGCATGGAAAAAAGATAGTTGGATGACTAGTTGGGCATGCGATTCATACTAGTTGTGGGGTAGTTTACAACTAGTTCATTTGACTACAGAGTACCTATTATTATTTCCAGTTGCACTCACTTCTATTAAATCGTTTTGATTTTTGTATAACTAATCATCCAATATTTTCAAAGTAAAAACTCGAACTGCGAATCTCTGTTTATGTTTTTGCCGGAAAACATATGTTCATAGCAACCAACTTCAAGAAAAAAGCACAGTGGTGCCACATGCTTTTCTTATTTAAATAAAGGTGATCTGAAAACACGAAAGTTAAATGGCATTTAAATAACAATCCAAAATGCCGTTTAAATATTCATTTGAAATTGGCCCTTAATGTATAACTTTGATGAGGAAAATACACCACTGCACAGTAGTCGTAATGGTCGATCTAGTGGAATTTAATTCGTATCTCAAAGGAAATGAGGGCTACGTATATTTTTTATCTGCATACAAAGTAAGTTTGCTGGAACCTTTTCCAAAAAAAAAAATAAAATTTTTTTTAATTCTTTTACGTTTTATATATATCTCACAGCTCAAATCGGTATTGAGTAAAACAAAATGCAAGTGATAGTTTTAAGTGTCAATAATACTACGTTAATGGCTTTTTTCGAGTTTAGCTCAAATAAGGAAGATATCCTTGATTGAATCCTTGCGCTGGAGACCAATTTTATTAAATTTCATTGAGGCTTTTCAAATAAATACTAAAATTATAGTAGTCTTAAAAAATTCAGTATTTTGTTTTATTCTTTTATCTACCATTTTTGTCGAACCTTTTTTTCTTTGCTTTTTATTTCGATTATCAAAATCATCGTCATAACTGTTTTATTACTCTCACTTGANAACTAGTAACATTTTTTGGTAATACAATTTTCCGGTTACAAAATCTTTGGTAACGTGCAGAATAGACCTCTTAGTGGTTTTGGTTTAAAAAACAAGCAGCTATAAACTATGTACACCAGCTGAAAGACAAATTAGTTATCTTCGTAAGATATTAATATTTAAAAAATTTAAAAACTGAACTTTAACGTTCTAGAACGTCTTGATTTTTTTACTTGCGCCAAATATTTTTGGCATGGTTGAAATGAGCATAAAAAGTTCTATTGATCTGCAGTTTTCCTTTTTGCTTAGCTGAACGGTCGGTTCCAGGAAATGATGAATAATTTAAATCAAAAATGCACATATTTATGTATTGTTTAGTATTTCCATTAAAACACCAAATATATTGCAAATTTGCATAGAATAAATAATACACATTTTACTTCTAATTGTATACTTTGCGTACTTTTAGTAGAACCTTTCTACGACCGTTTTCGCAAAAGGCGATCACATTCTTCCCCTTTCTCCTATTTCCAAAATACAAATCTGGATAAAGGAGTATCAAATTTTAGCTGTCACAAATTACAGAACCTTGTATTATTGAATCATGCTTGAGAATGTAATTTTACTATTTGACAGATCAAAACAGGGCTCCCAACTATACTTAGCTATGAAGTTCCATATTGAGGACAAAAAAGTGCCAAATAGAAAAATAAAGGTGCCGAAGTGCAAGTCTCTCTATTAGAATTAGAAACACATTCTTGAAACAAATTTCAATGCCAAAGTAAGTTAAACCAGTTGTATACGTTATAGAACTCAGAAAATTTTAGTTGAGAGAAATAAGTACACGCAAAGGATTTAACAAAAATGTATTTAAATATTACTATTTTTAAAAAGTGCCATTTTGGCACTTTGTGCCAAATTCAAAAATTAAGTGCCAATTGGAGTAAAATAGGGCCCAAAATGGCACGGTTTGAGCCAAGTTGGCAGCCCTGGTTCTAAAGGTTTTAGTCTGAAAATCTCTGGCACAACTATTTTGAGGAATTATTTCATTGATGGATTTTCGATAACAGCAATTTATCACTTTCTTTGGTGTTTTAATTAAAAAATGGTTGGTTGTGAAAAAAACATCAACATTATTTTTGGATATTTGTTGATGGATAATGGCTACAGCTAGGGTGGCCAGATGCGCTGATTTAATCAGTACATGTGCTGATTTTTTTCTATTGTACTGATTTTTAAGAGCCCGAAATCAGTACGCAAAATCTACGGATTTTTTGAGTTTGTACTGATTTTTACATTTAATAAATACTTTTGTAAATTGGTGTAATTGACATTTGCTTGAGGTTTACATGTTCAAAACAATGGTTTTTGACAACTCATACCTGTGAGCAGATTGAAAGCATTATTAAAAAGGTGTCAGCTTGCAATTGTTTCGTTTCCTAGGATTTCGCAAAATAACAAACCGTTTGGATTCAACCCAACCCAACTTCACGATTTGCAGGTTTTACAGGATTTACAGGAAAAGCTGGTTTCGCCATTAATAAATCTTATGAAAGGTGGTGGTGAGTTAATCATATATTAAGTACACTGAGAAGATGACAATAAGAGATAATGTTTTGATTATAATTAAACATCCACTGAGAAATCGGCTGTCAGTATGTCAAACTTAAGACGACTACTGCTACGGTGCAATGTAAGTTCTAAAAATTTGGAAAAGGTGCAAACTACCGACTCTTGGATACGATATATGTAGCTTTGAATGTGAATGTTGTATTTAATAAGCACACCAACTAAATATGTTTTAAATTTGTAGCTTAAAATATGGAATCAGATTCTGACTCGAGCTCTNATAAGCACACCAACTAAATATGTTTTAAATTTGTAGCTTAAAATATGCAATCAGATTCTGACTCGAGCTCGTCTTCTACTAAAACTGAATGGGCTACAAATTTTTTTAATTTTCTCAACTTTTATAAATTTTCTAGAAAGTTTGAGACTTCAACTCACTTGTCTTTTGTTATAGAATTAAATATAATAACAAAAATATAAATTAAGTAAAGAAAGAAAAAATTTTCAAAACCTGTCAATACATTTTACTACTATTTTCGTGAGCTGTACATACATACGTATACCTTCGATTTGTTTTAAAGTAATGAATTTTTATATTGATAATACTATATGTATTTAAATGTCTATTCGTTATTTTTTTGTTAAATTAATGGGCTGTTATTTGGTTGTTATATTGTTAATAATAAAAAATACGCTTAAAAATGAACTGATTTTTATGGCTTTGTACTGATTTTTGATCCCAAGTGTACTGATAATGTCACTATAATATCTGGCCACCCTACCTACAGCTGATGACGTAAATACAAGCCATAACTTTGTAAATTATTCACATGATAATGATTTTGAAAATCAAAATAAAAGGCAAAAAAGAAGGCAAGTTTGAAGAAAAGTATACGAAAGAATAAAACGAAATACAATAAATAAATGAATTTCTGCTTAAATTATTATTGGTGTTTGAAATCACATAGCGGCTGAATTTTTTAATAAAGACCTCTAATTTGAGTATTTATTTGAAAAAACTCGATGAAATTCAATAAAATGGCCCCACTGCGCCATCTAGCTCAATGGTAATAATAAATGAGCTTCAAAAATGAATTCCGCGTACCAAAAAACCCTTATATACGTATTTTCTAAGAATATTTTTCAAGAGCTTAACTTAATTAAACAATAAATCGGGTGCAAGGATTCAATTAAAGATATCTTCCTTATTTGAGCTAAACTCGAAAAAAAACCATTAGCGTAGTATTCACCGTTGCCACTTTGGTAATTTTTAACTAAAATTGGTAATTTTTATCTGTACTTATCAAATTTGGTAATTTATTTTTCATTTTGATAACTTTTCTATTCGGTCCTACATGTCACATAGGTTAATACAGGATCTGATTTGACATTAGGAAGTGGCCCGTAAGCGTTTCCTTTCATATAAATAACGAGTAATCCTGAAAGTTTCGCAAGGCGAACAGTTGGTCCAGCCTTCCTTGGTTCTATAATGGTGTGATATCTAACAAACTACTTGAAAGTGACTATTGCTATATCTACCGAGTCCTATATTTCCTTGTCAGTGCATCAGCTTTGCAATTGCCATCAAAATTCTCGTGTAGCCCGGCAACCATATGAGTAGAGTTCTATGTAAATATGTACATATCGTCGATGTTTTTGCAAAACCCCCTCGACCAGTTGCAAAACCGCCTAATTCGCCATTATAGCAAAAATTAGATTGGGTAACCCTGAACTCCAGGCATCGAGATTTATGCATACAAATTTTAAAATCGTTACTAAAACAACCGATTTGTAAAATAGCTAGATAAAATACCGCCCATCAAGGCTTGAAGGCATTAGAAACCACTGTTTATTTTTTGCTCTCCTGTAAAATTTGATTGCCGTAAGATAGGTGGTTTTGCAATTGGTCGATGGGCGGTTTTGAAAAAACATCGACGATATGTTCTCGTTCAGAAAGCTACGGTAATCAGTAGGGGACTTAACTATGTCTATGTGTGAGCCGAAACCTTTCATTTTGAATAACTGGCGTTGATTTTTTATTTTTTTTTAATTTTGTTTGCAAAAGGTCTTTCGCATTTAATCCTACAAGAAATTTACATTTATATGGTAAAAAGTGCAAAACCCCGTCAGCAAAACTAATTTGTTAAAAATCAAGGCGATTTTTTAGCGGATTTTTGTAAAAACTCAGACAAAAAAGCTCAAAATGAAGATAAAAATGTTTTGTATTAAGTTATGGTTTGTCGCGGATCTAGTTCTTTCGAGTTTAAAAAATATTTCAGGCTACATTTTATTTCGGGTAGTAGTAGATGAGAAATTAAAACATTGGTAAAACATCGATGTATCGTTTTTATAGCCGATGTTTTTTAACATAGATATCTGTTGTGGGAACATCGATGTTTTCAAACATCGATATTTTTAAGAGCGATGTTGCATCCAGTGTTGCCGCGAATAATTTTTAGTAGTAGCCAAATTCCTTTAAAAAAAGGGCTTAAAAAGAGCTAAAAAAAGTCGTTGTGGCTAAAAATGGTAGCTAAATTTTTTTACTTACATATACATATATAAGTATACACGCAAACATTTTCAATAAACAATGGTATAGAAAAACAACGAACTCTGGAAAAAAGCAAATATTTTAACCAACCAAAAACCTTTTTGTATAAAAGGGGAAATATACGAAACCAGCTTGCTGGCTCCATCAAGTGATTGTACCATCAGGCTCGAAGCATATAACTTACCAGCATGCATTCTTTACAAATGAGGTCGAGGAAAGATCGAAATGATTAGAGCCGAAATTTCATAATTTTTCTACCATTTTGTTAAACATTGTTTTTTTTCATTCACCACTGCAATATCGTAAACCTAATCTTCCGCAAACACGGCTTTGACTAATATAGTGCAAGAAATTTCCGCCAAAATACTTTTTATTAGGAAATTGAGCTAATTTCACCACTCACGACACCAGCAGCTGGTACAATCACACCACAAGAACATACACAGTCAATCGACTTGATGGGCCATTTAACAAATTAAGCATATTAAGGGCCGTAAACTTATCTATTTTAAGCTATATGTATATATATCAGTCTTTCTTAGTTTAAAAATTCATCTCTTACATAAATGAAAAAAAAATTGATCAAATTAAGCATATACAACTTTTTCATGCCAAGTATAAGTAAATTCTCCCAAAGGGCTAAAAAAGGGCTAGGGGCAATTCTAAATTTATGTGGCTAAAAAAAGTATGTGGTAGCTAAATCTAGCCACCAAAGGACTAAAGCGGCAACACTGGTTGCATCCCTACTTGTTGACATATGTACATATGTATGTATGTATGGACAAATTTATTTATTTATTTATTTACTTTAAAGTGCTCCAAATGGTGATGTTTATTCGCATATATACCACCATCCGAGTAGTCTCATATTTAAAAAAGTCCAATGGTGCCAATTGGGAGGATCTCAGTGGCCAAATGACATCCAATATATGGAAAATTATGCGCCTGATAATCCTCTGTAGCAATGAACGGTATCCATGACAATGACACTGAATGATCATATGCCTTCTGTTGTTTTGTGACCTGTTGCTTTGTATGGATGGAGATGTATATCCAAATGCAAAATATACTATTCCGAGGCATAGGGCAGTACCACGCCCATAAAACGAAATGCAATCGACAAATTTGTTTCTTCGGCCAAAATTTGGTTTGAAACCCTCATCAAACATTTCTGGTGTTGTAGCTTTCAGCGCTTACGCAGATATAAAAATTATAGCTTAATGGAGCGCTGATTGCCTGAAAAGCGTCTTGTCTCCAGATATATGTACAGATATATGTATGTATAGTTCAGCACATAAAATAAGTTTGGTGATTTTTGGTTGAATTTGGCAACTTTTTCTGGTGATTTTGGTAAAAAACAAAAAAAATTTGTGGCAACACTGGTAGTATTACTGAGATCTAAAACTATCACTTGCATTTAGTTTAGAAGCTCCGGTTAGATACAACGACTGCTTTATCGATCACATGTTATATGCATGATGTCGAAATCGTCGATAATGGTGTTTATCCGGCAAGTAGTGATAACATTGAACAACCGGCCCTTAATCAGTACCGAGCCAACCAGTTTGATTTTGTCGCATAGTGTCTTAAATCAAAAATTTATTTATTTTTCAGGCAGAACCTGGGTCGCTTCCATCTAAACCAGTGTTTCCCAAAATGGTCCAGGTAGACCCCCAAGGGTCTACGGGAGACTCGATGGTTGGCGTGAAAAATAAAAGGACTAAATGAGTTTGGCATAAAGAGAACTAGAAGATCTTTCATATTTTAAATGCTTTCAAGAATTTCTTTTAGTAAAATTTCATCCGTCACATTTCGTTTCTGTACTCTTCACACTTCCGATTGCATTTCAAACTCTACCAGATGAAGTAATAAGGAAATATCTCCATCGTATTAAATCTTTCGCTCATAATTTTTGTACATAATAGTACAAATACACTTCACTAAAATCTTTGGAAAAACATCTATTCCTAGGAAGTACAACAGAAGAAAACTTTTTCCCAGAAATATTTTATGAGAAATTTTTTTCTTAAACGAGATTAACTTTCTTGAAATCTTTTCCAATGAATTGTCTATTTTAAATGCCATTCATCATAAAACATATAGTTTTGGATAAAAAACAAAATTTTACTATTTAGTTCAAAAGGAATACCTTCATAGCCCAAAGTATCGATATGAGTAAATACCGATACTTAAGATCGGATATTTTTCAGGTATCGATTCTTTCTTTTGATACTACTTCCAAATAAAAGTATGGATACCTGC